TCTCAGGTTAGTCTAAGATGCATAGATTGAACCATTAAGCAAGTGAACAGACATTCACTTTTGATTCTAGAAATTAAGCCGCATGTCTGCAGTGGCCCAGGCCAGAAGCTGAGCGGCACTAGAGCAGGCCTCCTTGCTCAGCTGGAGCAGACAGCTTCTGCCAAGACTAGTGCACCCACCCTGCAAGGAGGGAGTCTGTGAGGGAGGTGCAAAGCATCTTAGGATGCCGGGGGACTGTGAGTTAACTTGAATCTGGAGGGGATGTGGGACAGAAGTTCAATAAATTGATTTAACCTAAATCAGTTAAGTCTGATACTGCATCCATCCAGGTTTATCTTAAACCAGGTTTGGCCATTTTGAAAGTGGTTCATGTGCACTCAGCTTCTGTTGTGTTACAGATGTGAACCAGCTTTTGATCACTTATACTGGTTTCTGTGTAATTTCTGTCCCTAGGCTAAGAGTTCCTGGCTTCCCCCTCCAGTTCTAGCCATTAGACATGAGCTGTGCCATGTATGTTATATAAGGTTATACAGCATATAAAATATATGGTGGTGATATAATGCATATTGGCCAGATTTAATGCCAAGTTGGCTTGCTGAAAGACATATGTAATTTTCCAAGCACATCCCTATAGTACAGAATATGGGTGAAAGCTGGCTAATGGCACTTAAAGGACTTGCTAAAAGCTTTTGTTAGCTTATCATAATACTGTATTCCTCAGGAGCAGGAAGAGAAGAGGAGACAATGACAGCAAAGGTAAAGCAGAGCAAAGGACGCCACCAAAGGTGGGGGTGGGAAAGTAAAGACAGGAAGGGAGATGCTTTACTTTCCATCTTTCCTTCTATTCTACCTTCCTACTTCATGAATGTTGTTTCTCCCTATCCCTGTCTCTCTCCCTGTGCAGCAGAAGGAAATAAGCTAGACTCCGGGAATCTAATTCTCAGCTAGTGATCAGTGTTGCTCCACTGACTTCAGTGGAGCAACATCAGTGAATCGCAGCTGAGAATCTGGCTTTAGTCCCAGAATTTCTTGTGCAGATCATCATTTAAAACCTGCAGGGCAAACCCTACTCTCACGTACAGTAATTCACCTCCAAGGAAGTGAATGGGGCTGCAGCCATATGACCAAAAGCAGCATATGTACCTGGGATTTTACTTCTGCAAAGCCAAGCTGAGGGCAGTGAAAATCAACAAGAAACACAGAAATCTAGTGATTTGGGTTATATACTGAGAAACCCAAAGCAATAGGTATATATAATCTTTTACCTTGTAGAAGGTATAGCTCTATGTAAATTAATTCCTTCCATAATTCAAATACACTTACACAAGGATGAGAACCCTGTAATACTGTCTTTGCATTTTAAATTATGAACCTTAATGCCTTTCAGATTTGTCTTGTTCTTGAACTATTAAAATGAAAAACACACCACCAGAGTCCAGTTAATATTGATGCTAGTCCCAATTTGGAGTAGTTCCACTCTACAATGGTTTACTCCACTGAATTATAAAAGGAAAAAACCTCTGTGACAAACATTTGATGGTGGGATCCTAATTACAGGCCACATTCTGCTTTGCTTATTTCTGCACTTAGTCCTATTAGCATCAGTAGGAACATCACATGGTTACTGAAGCTCTGTGGGGTACAACTGTCTTTGTTTGATATTTATATAGCACCCACAAAAGTGGGGAACTCCTAGACACTTTGGTATTACAATAATATTAAATAGTAATAATAATTATGAAGAGCAGAGTTTTTTACCACATATGGGCAGATATAAGGAAGAGAGATGATAGTTCCAGAAATCACGTGTCATTTTTCCATAGAGGACAGAGATCCTGTTTTACAAGCTCAGGTATGACAGCCCTGGTCAATGAGTAATCTTGAAAGAACCTGTCCTTGTCCACCTCCATTTTATTATTGAAGGAAAGAGCTTCAGTAACACCCTTGAAGCCACTGGGTTTAAAGATAGCTTGGATGTTTTTTTAGATATTATTTTTCACTGATGTTATACCAGAGAAGATGGACTATATAAACTTTTCCTTTCATATGTCTTATAATTGCCCTCAGTTTTTTTCTTTTTGAATTCCCAGGTGCTGGCTGGCTGCCCCGACACCACGTGGTGGCGGCACCTGGCATGGCCTGGGACCCCAGCGTGGCGCATGTTCTACAAGGCGCCCACCACCAAGAAGATCAGCGACCTCCAGTGGAGACTGGTGCACAGCATCCTGGCCACTGGCATCTTTGTGCGCCACCTGGACCCGGTGGCCTCGGCGGCCTACCACTTCTGCCCAGGGTGCTGGAAGAGGACATTTTCCACACCTTCCTCAGCTGCCTCCGACTGCAGCCGCTCTTTGCTGCCCTCAGGGCACTGCTTCGGGCACTGGGCCGGGACTTCTCAGAGGAAACCTACATCTACTTCTTCCCGTACCGGGCGGCTGAGTGGGCTGCAGTCAGCCTGGCCAACTTCCTGGTGGGCCAGGCCAAGATGGCCACCCTGAAGAGCCGGTAGAACGGGCTCACCAGGACCGAGATGCACGACGCCCTGCAGCTTTTCCACCTGCTGTTGTGGGACTGCCTCTCTCTTGAATTTGAGCATGCGGTCCTCTGGTGGATGGTGTCCACCTTTGAGAAACGCTGGGCCGTCGACAGGGCACTGTGCTGAGTCAAGGCGGGACGCCTGCTTCTTGCCCTGTGACACCACCAGCTCCTCAGGGTGCAGAGGTGCACCCAGCGAGCTGAGACCTTGGGCTTTGTCCAGGTGGGCCGACCCCTGATGTCCTGAGGCCTCCCTGGGTGTCCCCCCTGGCAAGAACTGTATATATGTAAATACTTCTTTTGTTCTTTGTGTTTTTTTGTTTTTTTGTCTAACGTGTGCGGGCAGGCCTTGAAGGCCATGAGCCCAGGCCTCGTCTTCGAGGCCCAGATCCTCGGACCTAACTGTACATAATTTATACTGCCCACCATTTGTCACCCTTCCCGGAATAAACGTCTCTTAAAAGTCAAAGTCTTTTTGAATTATTAGCACCAATGTACAGTATGGCCATTAAAAAAGCTACTACGGTTTTTCCAGGGACAAGAGTTTCATATATACTGGGGCAATTCATTTGCACATCAACAGCTTTTTTCTTCAGCTAGGGACAGAAGTTACACATAAACTGGTGTCAGTGATCAGAAACCAGTTCAAATTTGTAATACAACAGAAGTTGAGTGCACGTAAATTGGTTTCAGCCATTTTGAAAGCAGTTTAAGATAAACCTGGATAGATTTAGTATCAGACTTAATTGATTTACGTTAAATCAGTTTATTGAACTTCTGTCCCAGGTCCCCTCCAGATTCCAGCTAACTCATAGTCCCCCAGCATCCCAGGATGTTTTGCACCTCCCCCGCAAACCCCACACCCCAAGCAGGGTGGGCGGGGTAGCCTTGGCCCACGCTGTTTGCTCAAGCTAAGCAGGGAGATGTGCCCTAGCACCCCACCCCCAGCTTGTGGCCTGGGCCACTGCAGGCATGTAGATGCATTTCCAGAATCAAACATTAATGTCTGTTCACTTATTGGTCCAATCTATGCAATTTAGACTAACCTGCAAAGATTGAATCAATTCAGCTTTAGGCTTTCTGACTGTCTGCGCTTAGCCTATATGTTCACATTTTTCTACTAGATTTTTTTAATGCATCCCAGCAAAGCGATATGAGATCTAGAGCCAGATCTATTGGCTACTGTAAACTGGCATAGTTCCATTAAAGAAAACTGATTTACATCCACTAAAAATCTGCTTACTGTTTTCATTTAACATGCAAGAAACAAATATACTGAAAATACCATAAGCAGAACAAAATCTCATATTCAGTTCCCAGAAGTAGTTTTCTGCAACTTTAAAAAAGCCAGAAAAAACAAAAAAGTAGATCCCTAGATAAAGATATTTAACTTTGTCCAAATGTTATATTACAGTCTTTGGCTTTTCTGATGGTTGTGAAGAATCTGAATTCATGGCCTAAAATAAGCTATTGTAGTCTTCAAAGGCTGAAAACACTGTGGGCTACTGTCCTTACTCAGGCAAAGCTTCCATTGAAACAAGATGCAGGCTTTGTGCTTTCAGGAATGCAGTTGTTACAGCTATGTTAGAATCATGATTGCTGAATATTGTAATATAATTATATCAGAGGAGGTTCATGCTATACTCTTCCCACTTTTGCTGTCAGCAAAGATTTCTAAATCCATTTTTGGTGTGTCATCGTCTTCTTGTGACAGGAAATATGACTGTAGCATTGGTAGGTTTCTAATTATCTTCTCAGTTGTTGCAAATAATGATAGCCTTCTTGTTAGTACATGTCTTGGATGAGACTCATGGTTTGTACCACTGCAATCAAGCAGATTCTTTAATTTCCTGTGTTCCTGTGGTCTGAACCAGAAAAAAAGACTAAATAGTCTCAGCCACTCCTTGCTCCCACTGTGCATGCACCTGTAAGTAAATAAAAGAATAGTTTTAATTAAACACATAACCATACACACAAAGAATTACAGTTCCCAAGGACTTTACTGAAAGTTGGGTAGTTTACTCCTATGTAAATTTCTAAGAAGTTTGTAAAAAAAGAGTACATATGACAGACCTTTTTCTACAGTGGCTCAGCTATTCCACCTTCAAGACATTAGCCACAGCAGTTTAGGGTAAAAAAAAAATGAAATGATAGTGATCGAATGCCCAGTCCTTTGATTCTGACTCATCTTAGTTCCAATTATTGCATTTCCAAGGGAATAATAGATAATTAGTAAAGCAGATTAACCACTAGGCAAGACTGCCTCTCAAAGGACGGGCAGGGTCTATAAAATTTTGAAAAAAATAAATATTAATTGGACACAATGGGCAAAAAGGATTAATTCAAGGCAAAAATCCATTAATGTCATTGGGAATTTGTCCCATTAAAAATAAGGTCTATGCAGGATTAACTTCAGAAAATCTAGTATCCATGTGCTTTCACATATCAACTGATCAGAAATGAGGATGAAAAAGAGTTTTTCTTTTCTAGAATTGCACAACTACATGCATTAAAGAGTGTTTTAATGCCTTCCTCCCAAACATCCAGAGCTGACTAATGTCAGAGACTTGATGTTTGATTAGGTGGAATGTTGATCTGTTCCAGCATTGCATTTCCTGTGTTTACACGCCACCCCTGAGACCAGGAAGAAAAAAATATTAGACATTTAGAACTCTTTTTGCTAAATAGACAAGTTAACTGGCAGTGAAAAAGGAAGCTGGTTATTCAAGCAAGTCTAAAGGCTTGTCTACACATGGTTTTTGTGCTATTCTAACTCTATCCCCAGCGGGGGATGCAATTCTTCAGATAAAAGCATGTTCGTATTATGATAAATCATTTTTTGGAAATTTACAGAAATACAATATACAGATAGACAAGTAGACATGTCTCCTTTGTACTGTTACACCTGCATCTGTACTAAGAGTTTGCACTGATTCAGTGATGGTCTTTAAACTGATAAAGTGAAATCCTGGCCCAAAACTGTGTAGAGCAGCAAGGTCAAGTAAGAAGCAGAAGTGGGTGCAGCAAGGACATACATTCACCTGTCTGAAGTACCCAACATTCATAGACCTTGTAGCTCACACTCAAGGGAATGCAGTTGGAGCACATTTTCAGCTGCTGCTTGTTCCTCCAAAAGACAAGGTGGCTTTCTGATAGTCATGGGCTCATTATGTAAAAATGAGTTGTGAAGAAAGGAACAGCCAAACTGGTATTTATAGCTAAGGGGTCAACAACGAAATGAAATCTCTTTAAAAGAGCCCCCCAAACCTCCTGGAGTTTGAATAACGGCTCAGCTTGACAGCAGCCATACTAGGCTGATTGTTTTTCCTTTCACATTACATTAGAAATTAAAGGAAGACATAAAATATCTCATTTTCTAAATAGAAGCTATGCATCCAAACAACTACAGAATTTCCAGTAAAGGTGACATCGGTGTATTACAGTGATTCTCAAACAGGGTTATCTTTTCAAAGGTGTCACATGATGCCACACAATGTTATCACTGTTAGGTGTATAAACCTGATTCACAAGATAAACCCTGAGCTTTCAAATAGGAATCCATAGCATTATAAACATTTTAACAAGGGATGCCTTGAGTCTGAAAAGGTTGAGAACCACTGGTATATTAAAATATAAGAAGCACAGAAACATCTATTTATTATAAGAATAATTTTTGCCACTCTGATCTAGTCTGTTGGGAATGGCCTTAAGAGTCACCCTTGCACTGATATTAGTTTGCTCAATTATACTGAGAAAGCTGCTTACCCTTTTTGTGTCTCAGTTATCCCATCAGTGAAATAGGGATGAAGTGCATCCAATCTTACAAAACTCATGAGACCTGCAGATGCAAAACAGCAGTAAATGTGAATTACTAGTAACATAAGCAAAATGAAGACAAACTACATCAGTCATATATCATGTGATCTCAGCATATGGCTAGAGCTGATTTTTCTATAGCTCTGTTTGTTTATTCAGTAGACTGTGGTACTTGCTAAATTAAGAAAGCATTGCAGTCTGATATGCCTAATACACATAATAAAAAACTGTAGCTGCTTACTAGATCTGCCAAAAAACCTCTAAAGCGGCCATTTAAATTTCCTGTATTTGGAAAACACTTTAATTATTTATCATCACCACTACCATTGTTTTTATTTAGTCAAATCCCAAAGTCCTTACTCAGCTCTTACTCAGAAAATTTCCTACTGGAAAGTAGGTCTAATAAAAGATCTCAGATTTACCCGAAGAACCTTGTCTGCCTATGTCCTTAGACCAACACAGCTACAACTTACACCCCTATTGGAAAGAAGAGCATTTTTGTCTGAGTAAGAACCTCAGGAATTGGCCTATTAAGTTATTGATTACTAGTTAATTAGTATTATCACCACAAAATTAATTTTCAGCCCCTAAACTCTGGCTAGATAAAGTACATCAAGGCAATGAATCTTTAGATAACTTGCAGTGCACTTATTAGTGTGTTATCCAGGTGCAAATTGTATTGGTGCCTGTTTGTATTTGCATGTGAACCTGTAAAACTGTATTTCCCTGAAACCAGTGAGACCATATTAACAAATAAGGCTTTTCACCTGAGTGACAGTTTCAGGACTAGTCCCATCGGAAACAAGCGTACTGCAGCTGCAGAGCTTTAGAAGGCAGCAGATACAGAAAATCTAATCCCTGGGGTCAGGGTGCTTGGTTCCAAATATGCAACCAGCGGGAGTCACAGAGAGACTCTTGCAATGGAACATGACCTAAATGTGGTCCGATTAGGCTAAAATGCAATATTTCACTATCCAGGGATACCTATTCACTAGCTGCCATGAGGGTTTTTGCTTGGAAGCATAGATTAAGACTATTTCTACCTACTACAGCTGATTTAATGAGCCAAAGAAGGAGGGGTATGTTGTATGTGCTTCCTGTCTTCTAGGCAGGGCTGGATTTACCCTTTAGTAGGGCCTAGGCAAACAAACTCGTGGGCCCCTGGCCGGTCAAGAACCCCATCCTGAAGTGGATTGGGATCGACAGCCAGTGCAGGGTATGGATCAAACGCTTTAATGGGTCAGATTCTGTGGTGCATGTGGAGGCTCAAAAGGCACAGCCCCAGAAGTAGGCAGTAAAGCGTTATGCCTACGTCATGCCTCCTGCATTCTGACCTGAGCTGGGGCAAACAAGTTAAAGCAATAACCAGCTGCCTAATTGGAACTGCCAGAGCCTGCCCTGGGCTGCCTACGGTTGCACTGCAGCCCAGAATCCCCGTAATGCTCAGTGTACTCACCAACTTCTTCCTGTCCCAAGCCCTGCTCCTAACAACTTCCTACACCACAACCTTTGCTTATGGTGACTCTGTGCTATGCTATCTTCAGAGAAATTCTCCCCCAGCCCACTGCAGCACTTCAGCAGCTTGTATGTGCTGCCAAGTAGCACAAAACAGCAGCAGCTGAGAACAGACTCCATTCAGTGACTTTCTCTCTTTCAGGAAGTGGGCTGTGCCCCAACCATCCCTTCTGCATAGCCACCGAAGTTGAGTTCTCCTAGGTAGACTATGTTGCAGCAGGCTGGACTACTGATAACAAAGGTGGGGACAGTCACAACAGGGTCTTTAGCTGAGATGAAATGGCATCATTTGTTCATGAAAACGTTTAGTAACTCCCATCCTTTGATGTAACTCACAACACATCTAAGTGTTCACTTAACAGGCAGGGTCATTGTTTACAGATATTACAGTGTGTTGGATAAAAATGTACATCCAACACTACTTCATTTTGCTTAGGAAATTGTAACTATAGTTCCATTTCTTAGATATTTGCCTCTTTGTGAAGTGCCTGATGTGTACTTGTTCCCTAGACTTGATGACATTTTGTATTTGACTGGCAATGCTTTGGATGAAAATAAAATTGTATTTTAAATTCTATTGGTGAATTGACAATACTGAAGCAGACCTAGGGCATGTTGTTTTCATCCTTGAAGCTGTCAGGCTTAGAAGAGGAACAAGAAGAAAACAAACCAAATGAAAAGAAGGGATCAAGCATTTATGTGGATAACAAGAATGTTCAGAATTATAGTAGTAAGGACCATAAAAAAGAGTCTGGTGCGGGATCTAGTGCTTCAGGGGTATAAATTAACAAACGTGGGTCAGGAAAAAGCGCTTCCTGTGCGCAGGCTACTCTGAACTGCCTTCTGCTGGGTTTTTCCTCCGTTGCAGCTGGGAACGAGCCCAGTTAGAAAGAGTATACCAGGTCAGATCTGCTGTAATCTCTAATGGCAATCCTGTCTTCCCACACAGGCAGACACTGTACAACTCTGCACGTCTTCATTTTGTCACTGTTAGGGCTTGCCTTCACTGCTAAAAAACATTTGTTTTATATTTTGTTATTTTGCCTTGAGGTGAATGATTACAAGATAAAAAATACAGACCAGACATTTTAGTTCTACCATGAGGGATGTACCTTGATTTTAGTGAACTTTGAGGAGCATGATAAAATTTTTGCTCACTCTACCTCTTTTGTTGAAAAGGAAGTGCTGTGCTCAGTCTTGGTCCTTGCTTAGAGACAAGCAATTGTGCCATTTTACATGGTGGTTTTGTAATGTGGAGAAACTGGCATCAGGATGAGATCACATTCATTCTGTCTTCTGACCTGAAGGAATGTGAACTCTCTGACCTCATAAATACGCATAAATTGGCAGATATTATATTAGTTAAATTACTTTGCAATAATACATTCCATTTAGCACTTACATTGTATCATGCATTTCATTCACTGAGCTTAGTGTAATGCACCAAAGTGAGCTAAATAATTACCAAATGATGAAACAGTAATGTATTTAAACTACCTTTCTGTCCTCTTGCACAAAAGTAAATCTTCACATTATTTGGCTAGTTGCAACTCCTCTACAGGAACTGGCAGTAAATGGTATCATAGAATCATAAGAAACATAGAAATTAAGGGCTGGAAGGGACCTCTGCTCTGGGCAGGAATACTGCTGAAATCAAATGATCCCAGCAAGGTGTTTGTCCAGTCTCCTCTTGAAGACTTCCAAGGTTGGGACTGCACCACCTGCTTGGGAATTTTATTCTAGATTCTGGTCACCCTTACCATACAGAAGTTCTTCCTTGTATCCAACCTGAAACCATCCTTTAACGGTTTATGGCCATTGCTCCTTGTCCTCCCTTAGGGTGCCCTAGTGAACAGTTTTTTCTCCCAGCTCCTGATATTCACCCCTTACATACTTACAGATGGCCACAAAGTCCCCCCTCAGTCTTCTCTTCCCTAGGCTGAGCAGTCCCAGATCCCTTAGTCTTTCCTCATAAGGTTTGTCCTCCAGGCCCTTAATCATTCTTGTGACCCTTCTCTGGACCCTTTCAAGATTCTCCGTGTCAATAAAATAACAGAGTAGACATGGTACTGAAAAATGGTAGTGCTGCATTAAGAACAAGAGAGAGATGATCTTGGGGTATACCGAGGGAAGGGTATTGAGGGCCCCAGAATCTACAGGGCATGATGGCTTCCGGCCTCATGGATCCAGCTAATGCAGGAAAGTCACCTGAATCTCTGAGACAGATCTTATCCTGCATGCAGAGCTGTTGTCCTTATGGCTCTAATGGAGTTCCCCTCTCCTGATGCACCATAATTCCAAATGAACCATGTAGAAATTGGTAAATTGACAGCTGTGTACCAATCACAGAGGGGCCCACTCCCAGAGTGATTTAGTCTGCTCTAAGCAACATTCATTCTTGATGTTATTTCCACGCAGGAATCCAGGAGGTCTGCTTTGCCTTCTCCTACCTTAGCTCCACCCCACAAAATCTGGCTCCAAAAGGCTTCTGTGATATTGTAGGGGAATCAGGGGCACGGGTGGGGGGGGTGGGGGGGTTCACAAAGCAGCATTCCCTCCTTCAGCATGGATAATGGAGAATCCACTTGTAGAAGATCTCACTCATGCATGTTCAATATGAGGAAAGAGCGGGTGCTCACACTCGTTAAGTAGTGCAATACACAAAGGGACTAAGGTCTTGGTACTAATCTACCATACTATAGCCTGACTCATTGCTACTAAATGGGCTGGAACCTAATGCAGCACAAAGTAGACCTGATCTGTCTTGAGCTACCTGGTGCTAAATCTTCCTGAGTAGGGAACCTTCTGTCAGCAGAAAGTCTGGCAAGGAAGTCTGTATCATCAGCTGCACACTCTTGCCCAATGTAGGAATACAGAAATACAGGAGGTACGTTGTAGTGTTCCAGGGACAGAGTAGGGACTGGGGGGCAGTAGGATAGAGCAGTGTTTCTTTCCACGTCTTCCACCATTGATGTAATGCCATTGTGAGTTAGACTTGCTTTTCTGCACCTCTAACTTGTGCCAGGGTTGCGTGACTCAGAACCAGGGAACTGAACAGACCCCTGACAGCCCCCAGTCTCTACTGTGCGACAGCTATGCTTGAGTGGGCTGAAAAATCTGTCCCAGTATGCCTTATTGAAGCTTAGTTTCAACTGAAGGAAAAAACCCCACTCATTAGGGTCATTGCAACAATATCTTAACCTGATTTTTCTTTAAATAATACATTTCCTTTCTCTGGTGGGTTTGGATGCAAACTCTGCAAGCAAACAAATGACCATACGTATGGTACATGCACCATCATGTTTAAATGGTAGTCATTTGTTAGTGTTACTCCAGCTATACTGAACATAATTATTTTATACCATTTTCAGGATACAGCTGCATTGTGAAGAATGGAGGAGTTCTTTCTAGTAGAGCAACAAAGCTAATATTTTTTCTTTAAGGATCAATCTAGGGGCCAGTCCACCCATCTTGTACCGTACCCACTGATTTCGGTAGTATAGGGGTCTGACCTATTAAAACATGAATATTTCTACATCTCAGAAACATCCTCAAAGAGAATAATACAAAAAGCAGCTTGGGAAAATGTTGGTATATTATGGATAAATATATTTTATCATCCTAAATCAATATCTCATCCTAAGCCATTTTATTTTGCAGGTATCTTTAAAGCACTTGCAAAATATATGGAGAATATAATAAGTACAATTTATTAGATTGGCCTTAGTGCATACCACAAACAAAATGCCTTCATGTATTTACAGGATATGTTTGTGCTGTGTTATAAATAATTTAGTTTTTCATTTGATCTCAGAAGCTTTAATGGGCTTCATGGTCCGAATCTATAATAGTCAGCAGCTGCAATGTGAGAAAAAATATGTTCTAGTTGTGTATTTGACACTTTAAGTGCCTATGGGCTGACATTCATTATTGGCACAAGTCAAGTTAGCTTCCAAGCTACCAGGGAAATCACTAAAGATAATACAGATTGAGGAAATTCTAACATTTCAAATAAGAAAAATATGAGCATTTTCTGGGTATACTATGTGTGTCTGATATTTCACTTTTTGTAACATGCATTTCTAAGGGAGATGCCAATATACTATATATAATACATACATATTTTAGCATTACAGGCAAAAACAGTATTGCTCCTTTAAAAATGAATAGCAAGGGTCATTATCCCACATCCCATCTTCACAGGAGGAATGTTACTGACTCCTGTAAGGGTACTTGGGGAAGTAGAAGTTTGTGGAATCAGGTCCAAGTTTGGTTTGCTTCTTATAGCAGAGCTCCTTTAGGAACAAGCAAGCAAAGAGGCTCTTTATTCCTTCAGAATGTGTGGCTTTATCCTCTGTAACCTTTACTAGGGTGGGGATTCGTATACCTGACTACTCCTAGGGGAGTGCCTGCACAGCTGTTAGCTGGCTCACACTGCCCTAGGCAGCTACCCAAAGAGTAAGAGCAAACCAAGAAGTTTCTAGACTTCTACTGTAATTACTCTGACTCCACAAAGAATGTGAAGGGTTATTACCCTAGGAAATACCGGTATATGTACAGCTCCTCTTTCTTAAATGAGCTTGAGGGAAGTCTAGACCTGTTCACACCGAAGTTATTTTGAAGGCATAAAACAGAGTTAGCTAAGGAACATGACAAAAAAAAGTGACCAAAACTGACTAGTTGTTTCTATCCAGCTGTCTCAATCCAGTGGATTTAATGAGAACAGAGAAATGACAGATTAGCTCCTACTGCTGTCCCATGTAGATCCCCTCAAGATAATACATATGAAAAATGTACATATTTAGTCACCTGCATACAAATAGAAATCCATTGCCCTATGCACACACGACATGTCTAAATTACAATAGTCATCAAGAAAATAAGAGATAAGTGCAATATAAAACATAGTCTATTCACTACATTTAAGCATAAAGAATACAGCCTTAAAACAAATCATGTTAACACCAAGCAATAACTAACAATCAAATAGGTTGTGCTGAAAAGAATGAAGAAATCAGGTTTATCATTGCAAGACGAAGATTCACATCTGCAAGTTCTTGAGGATCTAAAAAAAATGATAATTAAAATTAACCGAAGTTCAATCCACTTTTAAACTAACCAAGATTTTGTTTAAATGGCACCACCAACCCTAGAACGGATCCTAAGCTCCTGTTTTTGAATAGTAGAGACACTTCCTTCAATCACACGTTAAACCAGATCTTACTATGTCTTGCAGGCAGCATTAGAATCCAATCTCCAGCTGATGCACATCAGCCTCATTTCCTGATGAAAGCAAGTTTTATACTACTGCTGAAGGTATGGGTATTCAATTCAGCTGTCCTTTAATAGGAAAACAGCATGTACAAGACAGAGCTTTAATATTAGAACTAATTGATAGCTAACAATTGAATTAGCATGTCTATTTTCTTGCTATGGGCGAAGTAATGCATAACAAAACCTGTTAAACAGCGTAATCTTTTTGAGCCCTTGGCACTTACTAAACCATCTATCACAACAATTTTTTTTATATTTATTTCAAGGGCCAAATCAGCTCCGAATTCTATTAGGCAAAGCCCAATAATCAAGTTCCAAATTGCAACTGAGCAGAACTCAATCATTTAAGTCTGTGTGTGTGGCTGTACTAATGGTCAAGTATCCTTCCTCCAGAGGCATAAGTCTTGGGCTTCGGATATTCCTCAGATCCGTGGCAGGTATCCCATGTGCAAGTCCAGCGACCTTGGGATTCAGATTCCCCTTAGTCATGCATGTTTGCGTCTAGTCAAAAGGCTGAGAAGCTAGCCATGGGGGAAGCATGAATGTAGTCCCCTGTTGCCAAAGAATTGTGCAGTCAAGTTTTCTGCACTCAGAAAAACTCACAGGGGTCAGCCTGCCTGGAGTATAATTCTCTCTCCCTGGGAGAACCACCTTGGTGATCATGGCATCTATCTCCCTACCTTCTTGATCATGGTATCTCCCCTGCCAGTTAAGTAATTGCTACCACCACAAATGCTGCAGAGTATTCAAACCCAGGGAAGTACACTGAGCTTGGCTTTTACAGGACTTGGAGCTTTACTCATAACAAGGCAATTTCATTTTACAGTGAGGCAAACTAGCTAATGCCCACCTTTGGCATGGGAGGAATATGGGCTGACCTTGCCTGGTTTATGTTACAATAATATGAAAGAGCCTTTTTCTCCGCTAGGCTTGTACAGTAGGACAGCTACCACACATTAATTACACCGTAGGAAAAGTACAGTTTTTATTTAGCCGTGAAAATAAAGCCAGAAATCAGCAGAAATGTATTCCTTATACATTATATTTAGACCTCACTGCCTTATACATTATATTTAGACCTCACTGTTTCTCTCTACATGAACAACCCAACTGCATCTTGTACAGACCCACTTTCCTCCTTCTACATGTAGTGCTGAGACCCAGAGTCCCGCTGCCTGCCCCTCTTCCCAGGACAAACTTAGTTCTCTTGTGTATGAGATTGGTGTGGCTGCACAAGGCTCTTGAGGATATGGGCTACAGAAATAAAATGGGTGGGTCTAGTTGGTCTTGTCATCATGTTTAGTATTGCACATGCCATGACGGTGATGCATAGTAAATGATGAGTCTGGTAGCATTCACTGATAAACCGGTCATGCAAAGGGCTCTCCAGAGTAGGAATTCAGTGGAAGGTATTTCATGTGTCAGAAATAATTCAAGGGTGTAGAATGACTCACTGGGAACTGGGTGAATAATAACTCAGACTTCATTTTTCGTAGACAAAGGAAAGGTAAGCAAAAAGCTTACATCTGGCATATCTGGGGAAGAACACATTCACAATGGTAGGAATTGTATTCTAAGTATTAATCATCATAAAATTATCAGTTTGTTTTCATATGAAAAGTGACAAGTCACTTTCTGAACGCAGGAGTCACATATGCCAACACAGCACAGGCACAAGTTTGCTGTAAAACAGAACTCTGGTTTGTACTGGACAATATAAACTTTACAGTGTAAACAGACAAAGAGGAGGCTCAAACAGGTGCCCAGTCAGGAGTACTTCATCTGACTACAGCAAGAAACAGAAAGAAAAGAGATATCCATGTGAACAGGCCCTTCTTAAGCAAAATAGTATTGCACAGAATCGACAAAAAAACAAACTTCAAAGCAGGCCTGGACTAATAAGATCAATCTCACAGTCGTAAAAAACCTTCCCCTTCTTGTTGTAAGCTGTGGCCTGAAGATCACTGGTGGTCCACATGACCTTATTAAGAGGTTCACAGTCAGCCCATGGATCACCCCAGAGTCCACATACCTTTATGATATTTTCAGTGGCAAGTGTGATAAAGGCATATGGCTGCCTGTAAGAAATGTTGAGGGATGATGTTTGTCCACTGGTCTAAGTGAACCACTTCTCTAGTTCATTCCCCAATCCATTCCCCTTTTCCTTCCCATTCATCATGGCAAGCAGTTTTTACACCCAGAAAGGGTAACAGAGAAAGCCTGAAGAACAGCTTCCTGCAAGATCAAAACCCTTTATTTCTTTATAGACTTTTATTCTTAAGCTCCTAGGACAACATTCCTTTTAGGCAGTATGAATGACAACTTTCCAACTCCTGCTTCCTCCTGTTTATTTCCAGGTCCCTTCCTGACAATTTCTTCTTGGAGAAATATTTTTGGCAGCTGTTGCAGGGTAAAACTGGCTATATTCCTAGTCTTTAAGTCAAACCAAAATCCCTCTCTGTCCTGCTTGTGTGTGGGACTTTTACCCATCACAGAGCTTTCTGAAATTTCCTATTTGTCAGTCAGTATTGACACATGACAACTCCTCAACTGCTTGGGCAAGTTCTGTTATTTGTTATGATTTTATTCAATTAAAGGCCCATTTCTCATGTTGCTCTTACGATATCCCACTCAGTACTGACTGTCCTCACCTCTTATTGGTGGTGCCCAGCATGATCAGGCCTGAATTTGGGAGATGCATCTGTGGAAGGGTCATTGGAAGAAGACAGTGGTATTCAGTGAGATATCTTTCCTTCCCAGGACATAGTAGAGTGCACTTTTTCTTCCCATAGTAAATTCCTTTCTCCTGAAGGCAAGAAATCTTTTCATAGATTAAATATTTCAGGAAGGTTTTAATGTTTCTTTACATTCACAATCAAAATGAAGTCAGGAATGTATTAAATTGACCTCTAATTAGTATAATTAATGTAAAGAACAAATTGGATCTGGGAAAAGGGATTGTTGTAAGCTAAAATTTTTTAATTAATTATGAGCCTAATATTTGTCACCTAGCCAATTCTGGTAAGGATGACTTTAAGCTAGATTCCATGGGGGATGGTGAACAGAGCAAAGCATGTAGAGAGGAAAGAACTGGAAGCAGCAGCTCAACTCTGAGAAAGGGTAAGAGAGCCACAGGACAGCAACAAGTGATGCAAAAAGGAAATAAGTCAGTCAAAAATGTAAAATATATCTGATATATATATACAAATGTGATAAGTATGAGGAACCAACATGATGACTGTTATGACTAGTATGTCAGTGTTGATGACTTTGTTTCAGAAGGACAAGTTTGGGAGAAAAGGTGTTACCTTATCTGTCAAAAACATGTTCACTTGTCCCTTGGTTCAGGAGGAAGATATCAGATCAGAATGTATGTCACTGAAGATAAAAGGTAAAAGATCCCCACCAATAAATCAATTCTGTATCTATCATAGGCCACCAAGTCAGAAAGAAGAGGTGGATGAGATGTACTTCAAAGAGGTGACAAAAATGTCCAGAAGTTTTGAAACGGTACTGTTGGGAGAGTTCAATTTTCTGGACATCTGGAAAAACAATATAGCCAAACATAAAATGTCAAGCCAGTTCCTAATTTGTGTGGAGAACAACTTTCTGTTCCAGAAGGTTGAGGATAAACCTAGGGGATCATTTATCTTGGAACTTGTCCTGACCAACAGGGAAGAACTGGCGGAGGATGTGAAGGTGATGGGAAACTTGGGACGAAGCCATCATGATATGATAGAATTGAAAATCCTAAGATGGGGAAAGCACAAGGTCAGCAGATCTAAGATGCTAGATTTCAAAAAGGCAGATTTCAACTGAATCAAGGAAATAATAAGAATGGTGCCATAGGAAGAGAACCTGAAGGATAAAGGTGCCTGGGAGGGCTGGAAGTTTCCAAAGGGCACAGTATTGGAAACCAAATAAGAAACTGTTCCAATACAATGGAAGCACAAGAGGAATGATAGGAGATAAATGTTGCTGCACAAGAAGCTTCTAGGATTCCTCAAATGCAAAAAAGAAAGCATATAAGCAATGGAAAAAATGGGCAGGTCACCAAAGGAACACACCAGAAAAATATCAAGAACATGCAGGAACAAAATAAGGAAGGCAAAGGTAAAAAATGAACTGCACTGGCCAGGGAGGTTAAAGACAGCAAGAAAATGTTTTATAAGTATGTCGGCCAGAAAAGAAAGACCAAAGAAGCTGTTAAATAGACAAGGTCAGCTCTTAACAAATGGAAAGAAGGCAAAGCTACTCAACAGCTATTTTGCCTCAATCTTTACAAAAAAATTAAGCTATAGCCAGACATCTAATAAGGATTATTTGGATAAGGAAGAGGGGACAAGCAGAGGGAAGAAATAACAAAAGAAACAGAGAACATTTGATGGGCCTGAATTAAAGTCAGCAGGGCCTGATGAACTTCATCCTAGGGTGCTGAAGCTACTGTCAAAGGAGATCTGAGGGAAGCTGGGGAGGCAGGCAAGGTACCAGAGGACTGGAAAAGGGAAAATACAGGCATAATAGAAAAGGAGGACCTGGGGACCTACAGATTGGTTAGCCTCACTTCAATATCCAAGAACATACTAGAGCATATCATAAGGAAGTCCATTTGCCTCTGGAAGAGCTGATCACAAACAGCCAGCAATAATTTACTAAGAATAAATCATGCCAAACAAACTTGATCTCCTTCTTTGACAAAGTAGCTACTTGAGTAGATGAAGGGACTATGGATATAGTCCCTTCAGCAAGGCTTTTGACGAAGTCCCACATGGCCTTCTCATAAACAAATTGGTAAAATTTGGGCTAGATGAAACTACTATCAGGTGGACAGACAACTGGATCAATAGCTGCAAGCAAAGGGCAATTATAAACAGATGGAAGACATTTCAAGTGGAGTCTCAAGTAGTGTTCCACAGTGAACTTGAGCCCAGTGCTCAAAGTGTTTATTAATGATAATAATTTATTTATTATTATCTGGATGCTGAAACATCTTCTTCAGCTTCTTGAGACATTTACACATGCCAAAACCAGAAAGGACAGTGAACATGTTAGAGGACAGGAGCGCAATTCAGATGGCTCTTGACAGACTGGAAAGCTGGACTGGAGCTAACAAAATGAAGTTAAATGCTGGCAAATGCAAGGTGATACACCTCAGGAAGAATAATATAAAATACAGCTACAAAATGGGTGAAACCTGACTGGATGGCATCACTATAGAGAAGGATCTGGGAGTCTTGGTGGATCACAGATTCAATACAGGCCTGCAGTGTGATGCAGCTGCACAAAAGGTGAATACAACTTTGGGATGCATTAATGGAGGCAGTTGGTGCAAGGCATGGAAGGCCTCATCTACAGTACTGTGTGCAGTTTTGGGCTCCATATTTTAAAAAGGACATGGAGAGGCTAGAGGCAAGAACAAAAATGATAAAGGGCTTGGAAAGCTAGTCATATGAGGCGAAGTTGAAGGAAATAGTCATGTTTACCTTGCAGATAAGCCACTCAAGAGAGTACATGATCACAGTCTTCAAATATCTGAAGACCTGCCATAAGGAAGGGAGAAAACACCTTTTCTCTCTGTTCCAGAGTAGGATGCAGACCAATGGCTTGAAGTTGCAGCCAAGTAGACTTAGACCGAACATCAAGAAAAGCTTCCTCACTGTTAGAACAAGGCAGTGGAATAGACCGATTAGGAAAGTTGTGGAATCTTTGTCATTGGAGGTGTTAAAAAAGAGGTTGGATAAGCACCGGTCATAGATGATCTAGGAGTAGCTATGCCTGTGTTCTGATATTTCCCAAGCTTCTGGGCTTTCCTGGCTGTCACACAGGGCTGGGAAGGATTTTTTTCCAATCCTGCTGCTACATGCATCAGAGTTCTGGGGTTTTTTTTTCCAGCTTCCTCAAAGGCATTGGGTGTTGGCTGCTGCCAAGGCTAGAAATTTTAACAGGGTGTGCCTGCTAGGACTGAACCCGGAGGTTCCTGGGTAGAGGGTTTTACCCTCTGTTTCAGGTCAGACCTATAGCCATATTTGGGGTCAGGAAGAAATTTTACCTCATGGTCAGATTGGGATGGACTGTGCAGGGTTTTACCTTTTTCTTTAGCAGGGGGCATGGCCCTCTTCCTTGCAACGGCAGAACATGAGCCACTGTGGTCCCCCTGCTTTACCTGCATCAGTTTACAGTGGTTGTGCCAGGGTTTACTGTGTAGTTTTGCTAATACATTAGACAAGTGGTGCTCAACCTTTGTATATGATGGCTTGGATAGGGATGAGCCTGCCTCTGGCAGGGGTTTGAACTAGATAACCTCTGGTGGTCCCTTCCAACCTACTGTTCAATGATTCTATTAAAAAGACAAAGGAAAATAGATATGAAAGTGAGAAGTAAAATAGAAACTTTATTGGAGGGAGAAAGGAAGAGTGAGTACAGACTTAACTAATGTTTTAATATTACTTAAAGGGTTAGAAAGGCTTTTTACTACGGGACATGATAGCCAGCAAAGGAATCTGTACTTTGAGGTATTGATTAATTAACGATTTCCTTTGTCCTGGGCCAAAACTCAGGATATTGCCAACCTCCACTACCTTCAACATACTCCATGGAAAGCAGGAGATAAAAATCAGACTTCAACTGAACCAGTGATAGTGGTTGTACTGATCAGGGGTGTTGATTTGATCCACTATAGAAAAAGGGTCCAGCCACCAAAAATGGTTTTTCAAGTTTAAGTTCAAAATATCCTTTAACTTCTGAGATGTTCTGGGATTTTGGTTTGTGTCAGCACTAGTAACTATTGTATTTATTAGAAGATGCTTTGTGTGGCTGTTGGGGAAATCTGGGTGGGCTTGAAACACAACCAGTTTTTGGGAAGTACATCACCAGAAGGGCTTTGAAAAACTGAGAAAAGGCTGCGGTTATTCTTGAGACATTCTGGGGTGGGCTTGAAAAGACAGTCCTGAAAGATCTCCTATTTAAAGAGGGGTGTGAGAGTCCCTTGATGCTGAAGTTAGTAGCCGTTGATGAAGTACTTCCAATATTTTTTTGAGCAAAGTCCAAAATATTTCTTTTACAGTTAGTGCTTAAATTACCTGCTGAAGGGCTGTGGATTTGCTTCTTTAGAGACAAGATTAATTTAGCCTGTAGTCTTGGCAGTCAAGTAATCACTGATGTGACGCCACTGAACTCCCTGGGGTCAATTTGGCTCTATGAGAACAAGAAAGAAAGTGAACGTGAGCTTTAACACAAGTATATGAGAAAAGGCATGTTCTGGAGATGGGAGAGGAATGCAGATTAGTGTGCTGGAAGGTGTGGCAGGGAGAAAGGTATGCGTGGGCTGTTTAATTAATATATTGCAAAAAACACTGATAATATAAAGGTGGATGAGCTAAAGGACCAGTGCATAATACTTGCTTCAGAACAAGCTGCAGCACTAATATTACTGAGCTGCTGGACATTACTGAAATGTAGCCCAAGTGGGAACTAGACATGCACTAAATCTGTAAGCTCTGTGTGTATAATCATACTTTTGACACAGATATGGAACCCCATATATTAATATAAAAGCCTGTTTACTGTTATAGCCTGAAATATAAACTGACATTCTGATCCTCATTTCCAAGTATTCTATAATATTTTGTATCCCCGTAGTGCCTGACATTCATGGCTCTCAGAAAACTTACAAGCTGACAAGTGAAGAAAGGCAAAAAGCAGTTAATATACTGATTTTTAGAGTTATTTGATTCTTATAGGAGCTGTAAAGCCAGTTGAGAAACAAGCTCACTGTTCATGAGGTATCCCAAAATCAGTCCCTTTTAACTGAAATTGTTGGACCAGCCAAGAGGGAATGATGGAGATCATGCAGCTGGCAAATATTAATTAGTTTGGCTTGGCTGTCTAACTAGAAGTCCATTGTTATACACACTACTGGCAAATACTCCAAAATATTCCAGACAAGACATGACAACTCAATCTCATTTACATGTTTTATGACATCCATCCCAAAGGGCTCATAGGTGATCACTGGTACATTACTGCTCTTTCTACAGGCTAATTTCAGCGGTTTCATTCAGAACAGTATTCTTGGTCTGAAAGAATAGAACATTTGTAGTCAAATGCACTTACCCAAGGCAGTACTGCCTAATGGCTTGAACAATCCCCAGTGAGTCTTTGATCCTAGGCCTGTTTCTTGGGCAAGTGGGGCCATTAAACCATTATGCCAGCTCTAACAGTATGCAGAGTCTGTAAACCCAGTGAAAATGTCATCTGGGAACTCCTTTATGTGAAGGGTTTCTCCAGGATGCACAGATACAGCTGACTTCCTTTATGCTGCTGCCTTCATTGCCACCACTATAAGGTTGTACAAGGGGTATGTCAAGGGAAGGGGTACACCAAGAGAAAGAAGCGAATTATATTAAGAATATTCTGAACTGTCTGCTTTGGCAAACTGTAACAGAACAGCTTCATGCTCCTCAGGTGGAAGGCATGGTATATGTGTGGCATATCATTCTAAAATATGGTGGTTTCAGGATAGTGGCTTGGGATTAATTGCTGATGATTGTTTTACAATCTAAGAAACACCATATTGCCCACAATAAAAAGATAGCTACAGCCTTCAGAAAATGTTATAGAGATAAGCAATTTGCAAAGGACATGCCTCTCACATCTACCACATGTGCTATAACACAAAATATGTCTACATAGCACAATGCATTGCTTCTCAGTGGGGCTAATTCAAGCTGGTGGAACACCACACTAACGCAGCTAAACTGCTTCCAATACCCGAGGTGGCTTGTTCATAGGTAGCTCAAGTACCCATGTACGGCACTGCATTGTGCTATGTAGACACACCCAAAGTCTCAACCGGAGCAATGTGACATATCAAGTTGCTGCGAGATCAGTTTAAGGGTGCCACAGGGTATTGCAAAATAATAGCCTGATTAGATGCGCAAAATCTACATGATTCACAAGACAAACACACAGACTTCAAATGTCAATCCATTGTGCCAAAAAACATTCTGACCTGCTATGGTCTCTCTGAGTACTTTGCAACAGAAGAAATGTTCTGCTATTTTTCTGTAGTAAAAAATCAGTGAAAGCTAAGAGCTAGCACTTTCTAAGGCAAGGGTGGACAAAATATGGCACGCGGGCCACATCCGGCCCGCGAGACCATTCTATCTGACCTGTGGGGCCCCTAAAAAATTTAGATAATTAATATTGATCTGTCCTTGGTTCGTGTCAAAAATGACAGGAACCAGGGGCAGTAGGACCCCGGGGAAGCCCGGAGGGCTCCTGCAACAGTAGGGCCTGCCTGGCCTCACCCCCCCCCCCAGTCAAAAGCCCCAGCAGGGGCTTCTGGCCTGGGAGCACATGGCTGCCCCGGCGTGGGAAGCTCAGGTAAGTGTGGGGGGGGGGAAGGGCAGGGAAGGAGCTCGTCTGCTGGCAAGCAGGGGTCTGGGATGCATGCTGCCCCCCACCTGGACTGCGGGGCTGGGGGGCACTGGGAGTGAGCGGGCGTGGGAGCACAGGGCCCGCACCAGTGTCCTGGGGCCAGTGCCATGAGGGCCCAGAGCAGGGTGGCAGGAGTACAGGTTCCCAGGTGTCAAGGGCTCTATGGAGCTGGACCAGCTCGCCCCTCTCCCTGCTGATGCAGACCAGCCCGGCTCCACAGACCCCTGCCAGCCCCTCTCTGGGCCCCACTGGTGCTGGCCCTGGGACATTGGTCCCAAGACATTGGGACATTGGTCCCAAGATGGTGACCAGGGGTGGGGTGCCTGTCAAGGGGTGGGGCTACCCATGCGGCCCTCCCCACCTTGCCAAAACCAGATAAGCAGCCCTCCACCCAAAATAATTGCCTGGCCCTGTTCTAAGGGATGCCCTGAGTCTAATGATGGGTGCAAGTAGTTTGGAGTAGTCAATCGTTTATGCTATGTGATTTCTGAAACTAGGAAAGTTGAATGAATGCTTCAGAACATGAATGCCATGTGCCCCAAGAGGCTGGGGGGCATGGCGAGCTCCCACAGGCAACAGCAGTGCTGTTGGCGGTGGGAGCGTGGCAGTGGCAAGCAGTGTGCTCCCACAGATGGCCACAGCACTGTCAGCAGCAGGAGCGGGGGAGTGAGGTGGGGTGGCGAGCGCCAACTGGTAGTCGGTGACCACCCACAGATGCCGACACCACCAGCGGCCAGTAGCTATTGGGGACTGCCCGCAGACGCTGCTGGCGGTGTCAGCGGCGAGGAGTTGGGGTGGCGAGCGGTGACCACCCACAGGTGCCACCGGCAGTGTTGGCAGCACCTTTTTGCAGGGGGTGCACTGCCAAGCTCAGGGGGTGCACGTGCAACCACATGAACCCCCTACTCATTTGCCAACGTTTCAGAAAGTTGGCACATCAGTTACTGTTTTACAGAAGTCCTTCCTGTCCGGTTCAAAAAGAGATTTGGGTGTCAGTCTCAGGGTTTGTTTCCTTTCCAACATTTCTGATTGGCCTGATTTGGGTCTACTTGAAAGAGTGAATTATACAGTGCTGTAATTAAATGTTAATTATTAAATATCATGCAATTTTTGTTGTTCTTTTCTGGATGCTAGCTAGTGCATCTTGCACTTCAGTCACTTCTCCCCAGTTGACTCATTATGATAAAACCTAATTCCTGGAAGAGAAGAACAAAGGTACTCAGCAAAAATAAATTACCAGGGAAAGAGAGAAGAATCCATGAAATGTGAAATGCTTGGAGTTCACAATACCCCAAAATAGGGAAGCTGAAGTGATTCACTCAAGGTCATAGGAGCCATCTGTGGCAAAGCCAGGAATAGAACCCAACTCTCTTGGCTCCTAATGTATCTAACCACAAGAATTTTGCAGACCTGCATTTAGCTTAGGAGTCTAACATGCCAGTTTTACAATGCCAGTCTAGTTCTTCAGAAGTAAAAGACCTACTGTAGTAAAAATCATCTTTATTATAGAAACTGAAGCAGCATATGATGCAAAAAAAATACACCAGCAATCTTGCATTTCGTATTAAGAAAGATACATCTAAATTAATTGATGGTGCTAAACTTTTGATGGAACATTTGTATGGAAAGATTTATGGTTTACAGGTGATATATAGATGTGCTGGAATTGCTCTGGCTGCCTTAGAAAATAACGATTAAGGTAAGTGGTTTAAAACTGTTCATTAGACATGAGAGTGAGCTTTATCCACTGAAAATATCAAAAGGATTCTTAGTATAATATGTGGAATTACTGCACATGTTGCACTCTTATTGACCCAAGACAGTACAACATATCAGATGCATCAAGTCACTGAACCATAGAACAATGTATCTTGCTCTACAGGAGTCAATATAACAAGCAGAGCTGTCAACTGGAGCACAGACCTGTATATATACAACTAGCCAACCCAGGAGGGATGAAGCTGTTAGGAAGCAAGAGTTTAAACTGGGCCACAATATTTTTTTTCCTGTCATGGCAAATTTTGTTCATTTAAGGGATGTCATGGTGAAAACAAGAACCATGAAAACCCACAATATTTTGCACTTAAGTTTCAGCTAAGATCTGAAGAGCTTAGATTGCTATACAGTTTGGACAATTATTCCCATTTCACAGGGTCAACTGAGGCACAGAGTAGTTAGGTGAAATAGTCAAAACCACAACAAAATTCAGCGAAGAAACAGGACAGTATCCAGTACCCTGACTCGCCTCCATTCCCTAACCATCAAATCACAATCCTTGCTAAAAAACAGTCATTTAACATGTCAGGCTTTTTGTGGTTCAAACAACTTTTATTTTCTTTTTTATAGTGGCAACATTTAAAAAAAAAACACATATGTTCTGATGATGCAGTGTAGGAAGTCATCTAAGGACTTACCATACCAAAGCCCACCTTCGTATAGTCAACCCAGTCCTCCATATTTTTTTACCTGTCAACCCCATTGCTACAAAAATCCAATCCTTTTATCTGATGCTTATTTTTATGAAGCTTTATTTAGGTTCCTTGGCACATAGAATCATAGGGTGCCTATCCACCTGCTCCGGGGTGGGGGTGGGGGTGGGAGGGTATTTGAATTAGAGTGACTCTTAGGAGCCACTCTAATTAAAATGCCCTCCATATCTCATATTTAGTGTCCTGCATTCCAAAATGGCAGTGAGGCACTTTAACTAAAGTTCATTCAGGAAGCTTTAGTTAAAATGCCCCCACTACCATTTTGAA